ACTGTTCTTGTTTTAAGATTCGAAGGCGTCACAAATTTCATGAGTCATTCCTATAAGTTAATGCGTTCTGAAATGGTGTCGACGAAAACCAACTGCAGTCACTCATGACTCGTCTGTAGAAATTTTGCAACATCATAATTTCACCTAATGTCGCCCTCCCAATTCTAATTACAAAATTCAAAAATGTGTAGAAACGCAGCAAGACTGTTAAACTTCTCTGCTTGTTCCAATCTTCATATTACTTTTTCCAGTTCCAAACGCCTATATCCTCCTCGCTAAACCTACCTTTAACAGAAAGACGAATGGGTACTGCCTTGGGACCTTCGTAGCCTCAAATTTTAATTTGTTACAACTTAAAATGTAGTGTCTGTCGCAACTCTTACGCTTATCTCATCTCTGTCTCTCTAGGGATGCAAAGTGTTAAGGACTTATTTGGATTCTCAGGATGATTGTGGATTGAGTGGGTCCGAGAACAGAGGATTGAGGAATTTGGACCTTTGAGTTAAATGAATAAAAAAAGCCTTTAATGTGGGTCATAATTCTTAATCTTCGTCTGATGTTGAGATAGTAATTAAATTGCAATCATGGGGCAACATTTTCGTCGGATATGTTTGTTCGAAGACATAACTTATGGGACCTAAGAGTAGATGTGACACTTTTGGACGTAAATCTTCGAAATAAATTGATGTGGTTGGATCTGACTGAGAGTTTTTTGATTAGTTGAGATACTATCAGCTTTTCAAAGGTACAGTTTCTGAGGACATCATTTAAGTGGTCTGCTTTATGAATTGTACTGCTCGCTTAATAACGCTCGGTTAATTAAATAAAAAACTGCGAAAAAGGGCACGTGTAGCGTCTCAGTTGTGGGAAGAGAAAATTAACACGCGAAGAACCTTCTTAAAACGACCTCTTGCCAACAGAATGCTATGGAGGAACATTAAAATGGGTTTCGGGGTTCTAGACCGAGAGGTGTGAATTGGACTGAAGTGACTATGCGGGCGTTGATACCATACGGCATTCCAGGTAATTTGAGAGGCGATGTAAACAAGTCGAGTAAGGGGGAGTGCTGTTACGGCTTTCGAACCTTGTCTCTCATCTGGTGTCATTTCACAAAACCGTTGTTTCAAACAATGAAGTAACAATTACGTCATTTTTGCAGTGATAATGATGCAAGCATCATATTGGTGAGTATTTGGTACATTAACAGTATTAAATGCTTTAGTAGTGGATGGTGTTTTTTGTACAAAGAACTTGGGGTGGGTGAGTGTTTTTTAGAACAGCGCTCTGGCCAGGAAATTCAAAGATTAATCATATGGAAAAAAATTCTTTCGCAGCAGTAATTTTTGTTTATTGGCGAGTGTTGTGAATAGTTGTCTGTGCATTTACTGAATGTAGTAGGCAGAATGTATTACAGAAACAGAGAAAGTATCAGAATAATAGCAGCATATATTTGCAGGAAAGACAGTAATATTTCTAGCACGTGTTTCAAAAGGAGTGTGAGGAGAGGAGAATTTATTTTGGCGGACTTTCATCTCAGCTGGGACACAGTATAGCATTGGTTCAATTTGTTAGAAGTTTTGTGCTTAAGTGTTTGAACAAAATAAACATTTTGCAGTTTTAATTATCTTCCAGTTGCGATCCGTTTTCTGATCGCGGCCCTCGTGGCTTTCATGCAAAGGCATATTGAAAAGGGACGATGTAACTTCTTATAGGGGAAATGTATAAACATGGCGCGCTCCAGCTATCTGATCCATGAAAGTAATGTGTTTATTTCCACACAAAAAAGACAGTTCAAAGTCCAGAGAAGAAAGTAAAGGTCATCAGTCACATGACGTGGGGAAGGAAGTGACTGTAGAATCTAAGCAGTAATTTGAAACCTCTGATATGATCTGAACTATTTTATATATAAAACGTCCCTGACTAATGCAAGTAATCCTTGAAATGTTTGAATTGAGGCGCGTCGATGGCATCTCTCACAAAGGGCGTTAATTTCTTTGTAGGTCAGTGCAGTGAATTTTTCCACCAGCTTTAAAGGTTCTGACTAACTGTAAGTGTGCTTTTCTTGTATAGAGTTCTGTATTTAGTCTAGTGCAGAGGTTCCCAAAGTGTGGGGCGCCCCCCTAGGGGGGAGTGGTTTTCTGGGGGGGGGGGGGGTGTGTTTTCTTATGGGACCTAAGAGTAGATGTGACACTTTTGGACGTAAATCTTCGAAATAAATTGATGTGGTTGGATCTGACTGAGAGTTTTTTGATTAGTTGAGATACTATCAGCTTTTCAAAGGTACAGTTTCTGAGGACATCATTTAAGTGGTCTGCTTTATGAATTGTACTGCTCGCTTAATAACGCTCGGTTAATTAAATAAAAAACTGCGAAAAAGGGCACGTGTAGCGTCTCAGTTGTGGGAAGAGAAAATTAACACGCGAAGAACCTTCTTAAAACGACCTCTTGCCAACAGAATGCTATGGAGGAACATTAAAATGGGTTTCGGGGTTCTAGACCGAGAGGTGTGAATTGGACTGAAGTGACTATGCGGGCGTTGATACCATACGGCATTCCAGGTAATTTGAGAGGCGATGTAAACAAGTCGAGTAAGGGGGAGTGCTGTTACGGCTTTCGAACCTTGTCTCTCATCTGGTGTCATTTCACAAAACCGTTGTTTCAAACAATGAAGTAACAATTACGTCATTTTTGCAGTGATAATGATGCAAGCATCATATTGGTGAGTATTTGGTACATTAACAGTATTAAATGCTTTAGTAGTGGATGGTGTTTTTTGTACAAAGAACTTGGGGTGGGTGAGTGTTTTTTAGAACAGCGCTCTGGCCAGGAAATTCAAAGATTAATCATATGGAAAAAAATTCTTTCGCAGCAGTAATTTTTGTTTATTGGCGAGTGTTGTGAATAGTTGTCTGTGCATTTACTGAATGTAGTAGGCAGAATGTATTACAGAAACAGAGAAAGTATCAGAATAATAGCAGCATATATTTGCAGGAAAGACAGTAATATTTCTAGCACGTGTTTCAAAAGGAGTGTGAGGAGAGGAGAATTTATTTTGGCGGACTTTCATCTCAGCTGGGACACAGTATAGCATTGGTTCAATTTGTTAGAAGTTTTGTGCTTAAGTGTTTGAACAAAATAAACATTTTGCAGTTTTAATTATCTTCCAGTTGCGATCCGTTTTCTGATCGCGGCCCTCGTGGCTTTCATGCAAAGGCATATTGAAAAGGGACGATGTAACTTCTTATAGGGGAAATGTATAAACATGGCGCGCTCCAGCTATCTGATCCATGAAAGTAATGTGTTTATTTCCACACAAAAAAGACAGTTCAAAGTCCAGAGAAGAAAGTAAAGGTCATCAGTCACATGACGTGGGGAAGGAAGTGACTGTAGAATCTAAGCAGTAATTTGAAACCTCTGATATGATCTGAACTATTTTATATATAAAACGTCCCTGACTAATGCAAGTAATCCTTGAAATGTTTGAATTGAGGCGCGTCGATGGCATCTCTCACAAAGGGCGTTAATTTCTTTGTAGGTCAGTGCAGTGAATTTTTCCACCAGCTTTAAAGGTTCTGACTAACTGTAAGTGTGCTTTTCTTGTATAGAGTTCTGTATTTAGTCTAGTGCAGAGGTTCCCAAAGTGTGGATTCGCTTGATGGAGGCAGTTCAGCAGTGGCAGCCATCAAAACAAAGTATCGTTCTACGATGAACCTTGAAAACGACCTTAGAGCAGTCATTTCAAAACTCCAACCTCGGTATGATAAGTTATGTTCACAGAAGCAACCACATCCATCCCACTAATCCAGGTATGAAGCGTATATTTTATTACAGTTTCTTAAATTAAATGCATTGAATAATATGTACTAAATTATAAAAATGTATACTCATAGCTAAATTTTATGTCAAATCTGTTTGCTTGCGCTTGTTCTGGAAGGGGGCGTGAAATTTATGAAATGTTTTAAGGGGGGCGCAAGGTATAAAAGTTTGGGAACCTCTGGTCTAGTGAATTACTCGTGCAAGCTTCAGACCACGGAGGTTTCTGTTACAATAACAATCTGTGACACTGGTATTTTATATGAATGCTTAGTGTCAAGGGAAAAATTTAAATCATCGAACGTGGCGGATGAGTGGTTATTTATTCTTCGTATAGAAGCCCCAGGTTAGATTCTCGGCAGTGAAGGTTGGATATCTTGACATGTCTTTCATAGTTTTTCTTTGCTTTTCCAGACAAATGTTGGTGTAGTACCTTGCAGAGGGCCACATCCATACCATCTCACTTTCTTTCCTATTCCTCATTCAAAGACGTTTGTCTGGAATTGTTCTCGAACCAGACACTTTCAGAATGCATGAGATTCAGACCTAAATCACGCGATAAATTCCTGATATCTAGACTTTGTTATCATTGACTGATATATTTTGTAATGAAGTATTAATTGTTGAGGTTAAATAGTTTGATTTTTGACATAAACAGAAAAGTTCTTTGGGATACATGGCCAAGAGGTCTTTCTCAGATTTCTACAAGATAATGCTATTAGTCTGGCAGAAGCAATTGTGGATAGTCCTTTTACCTTGAAGATGGAGGAAGCAAGTTTTTCCGAAACGTTTATAACTACCTACAAGACTTCACTGTGTCGCATCCCGGAACACCACAACCTGTGTCGATTCTCGCCCTCAAAGCCTGAAATCTCGGGATGTTCACCCCTGACAGTGCATTGATAAGAAGCCACCACATAAGTCACTTTTTTCCAGAGATCATTGCATCAGGCAAATATTGACATACGCCACCCTGTTCATTTAAATCTTGCTATCTACCCTCCTGATACAGGACCTGGGGTGTCCTGTGGTTGACTAGGCAGCTAGTTCCAGGCCCCGGAGCATTATCTGCCAGAGCATTCCTGTCTAACTCAAGTAAACAGACGGGCCCACATGATAAGGCCCCGGCTCTATGCCATTTATTCTCACCTTCTCAGTCAGTCTTTCTCGCGCGCCGTCTGAGTGAGTTGGGGTGCAGGACAAGACAGTAGTCGCAGTGGCCAAGAAGAGTTGGATAGCAAGGGCGGGCGGGGGTCGCTCTTCGCTCGAAGAAGTCGTCGGCCATCGTGCGAATGGTGAGTACTGTTCCCGTCTCTCTCGTGTTCCCTAATGGCGGATCATTACTGCTACTAGCTATAATCTTCAGCAGCCTGGCTTCTCTGACAGATAAAAATAATAAATCATTGATAGCGAGGTTCCCAAGCACCGTGGCGCAGAATTCTGATTGCCGATAACTTATCCGTGCTTCTTGCAAAGTAGTGTGCTCGGCTCTATAACACAGGAAATTTGGCAAACTTGGCTTCTTTTTATTATTCCTGCTCCTGGCTGATAAATTACACCCTCTCTCATCCCCTCGGTGTCTCTTACCTGCTTCGGAAGGTGTCTTGAAGCACTCTGTTTTGTCGATATACTGTACTGTAACTTAAGGGAGTGCTGTACGCTTCATTTCTTTAATGTGTTTTATAACGATAATGGCAATAGCTTGGTAGAAGGCGGTCATTCCAAATATCAAGGTACTACATTATCATAAAACGACTGAGGAAATCCACAATTTTATTTGCGTAAATCGGTGAGCCAACACAGATTCGATCCGGGGACCTTCCGAATGCAGGTGCCTTACAGACATTAATTTCTAAGCCATTTTCTTTGGGAAAGAAAACGTTTAAAAACGGAAAGTATCATGGACTGCAAACGTTTGATTTTCCATGTAATATAGAAAGTAGGACGAAAGGGAATTTTATCCTTACCATTATCAAAATCGGTCAGTCCCCTGAGAGTTACTACAAGAGCTCTGACAGTTTAATGTCTTCAGGAACCGCAGGAGTAATTCTGAGTATTGACCAACATTTCCTCAAACATTGCAGTTGTCATCTTAAAGGTGAATTTTACTTATGTTTGTATATTTATTTATTTATTTAAAGAGCTGCCAGCAGTTCAGACTGTCAGCGTCGGATGATGGGACCATCATAAACAATTGCCCTTTCCTAAGTTGTATTTGGTTTCATGTTTTCTTTGGTCGTCCAGATTCACGTTACCCCAGTGACTTGTATTCCAGTGTCTGTTTTGGCATTTTGTCTTCATTCCACATATGAGCCTGTACCGTATGTTGGGCCAATGCTTCTGGTACAACAAAAGTTTAAATCCTATCGATTGTAGGGCACTCCCAGCTGCAGTGGAAAAGATTTAGTGACATTCTGCATTTCCACGATCTATCCTTATCTGTCTTGTTTATTTTTAGATCGATAACAAATACAACGAAAGGAATTGTGTCCTGGGTGTCTAAGGCGGGTACAATCTTCGTCCACTCGAAATCTGGGATCGCAGTTTCGAATAGAGCTAGAGGAAAATATGTTTGCGTTATTCTATGCTTTCTTGTTTAGGTGTGCAAGTAGATGTCTTTGCAATGGGCTAAGTCCTCTGGCATATCCAAAGAGTTCTATTGTACTTCTTAATATTATTGGGCTTAATTTGTGAAAAGTTAACAAAAAGAAGAAGGCATTTAAAAAATCTATAAGTTCTGCTACAGTTCCTCAAACGGAAGAGGCCGAACTTATGAGAGCAGGGAAAATGTTATTTCGGCCAAATGCCCCAACTGGACTGACGGTCAGTAAGCCTATACAGAAAACCGTCCAAGAAGTAAATTTATGAGTTTCGATTTCGGAATAAACATACATCGTTTTCCAAACCATTATTAATCCTACCGATGTTGGCAAAAGAGATAAATTCACAACTGATAAATGAATGTCTTGAAGTGTAAGTTCTCAACTTGGTTCACGCGGTTTCTTCCCTGCCCTACAACCCCCAGAGCTACGCAGCCTTCAGCCAGCAGCCAGCTGACACATAGTGTGAGATGAAGGTCGAATGGGCCCTGTACGGATCTACCTTAATACCCCGCTAATGGCGCACCCACGCTACCCCTTTCCATGGCCCTGATCTAGTCTGTCGATACCGCTAGGGGTAGAACATTGTTACGTAAACGACCGGGGGTTGGAAATCAGTTCCCGTTTTGCTACAGGGTCGGGGAAAAGGGGAGGCGAGAAAAATGACTGCCCCCAGAAGACTGGGAGAAGAGATAAAGGTGGATGGAAGAGGGAGGGAGGTGTGATCCATTGAGGCAGGCGGATATGAGAACTGCCTGCAATCTGCAGCAACACAAGAAAGTGAAAGAAGTATCTCTGTGAGATGTGTGTTCATTAGCGTGTTACTTTCACCTGCAGAGTGAGACGTCCTCACATCCCACAGTCGACTGCCACATGTTTTAACGGAACAAATGATGTTAGGATTTAAGCATACTGCGGGTGAGTGACGAAATGTGGCTTTGATGATTTTGCGACAACATGACATGCCGTGCTTTGCTTTGCTGCTTGTCAACACCAGGGAATAATTAAACGCCTTTCAATGCTATGTCTCTTACTTTTAAGTGCAAAATCTGTTGCTACTAAACTTACACTTGCATTAGCAAAACGTGAAACGTCACGAGAACAGCAATTTAAAATACTTTACATATTAACTGATTGAAGCTTTCGCAGTTGGATGCTTCACCCCTGATTATAGAGGCAGTATGGTCCTATGAAACGTCAGCAGAAATCAAACTTCTTCACTGTGTCAGCACCCGAAAGCAGGTTCAACATTGAAGATTTCTGTCCTCTGGGTTGTTGCGCCGTGTAGTATGGTCGATGTTTTCCAACGTGTCAGAGGTCTTACTGCCACTGTCATCAGGGCGATGAATCGCACTGATGACGGCGGCAGTATGACCTCTGAAACGTTGTTTAACATCGACCAGACTTCACAGCGCAACAACCCAGAAGACAGAAATCTTCATACTCATCGCCCTGATGACGGAGGTAGTATGACCTCTGAAACGTTGGTAAACATCGACCAGACTACGCAGCACAACAACCCAGAAGACAGAAATCTTCATACTCTGATGACGGAGGCAGTATGACCTCTGAAACGTTGGTAAACATCGACCAGACTACACAGCGCAACAGCCCAGAAGACAGAAATCTTCATACTCACCGCTGTGAAAACCTCAAATCTTACAAGTTAAACATTGTTTTCACCAATACTTATTTTAAATCGTGACAGCAGCGACAAGACGCTGGTAATGTAGACATCGAAAACTTACCAGATAATAACAAGAATATAAATTCATGTAATGTAATTCATTTTGATAAGCTGATAGTCGTTAATTGGTGAACAAATCCCTGGATGATCTGAAACTTTCACGCCGACTAAGTATTAAGAATTCTCGGGCTACCAGCTGTGTCAGGTCTGGTCTTTTATAGTACCCGAAGATGTATTGTTGTATTCACACAATGGCCTCCCCCGGTCCTTATCCTGAGTCAGTAGAGTCCCGTATACGCCTTGGAATAAATAATAATAAGTCAGAACAGATAGAACCATCCGAAATAATAATCCAGACATTATTATCCCGAAACAAAAACGGAACTTGCCTCTTAATTGACATAGCAATACCGACTGACAGGAATGTGATTAAGAAGGAAGCAGAGAAGATCTTGAAATACAAGGACCTTCTCATAGAAATACAGAGAATGTGGAACGTTCAAGCAAAAGTAATCCCAGTAATTAAAGGAGCAACAGGAACTGTCTCCAGGTCGCTCAGAAAATATTTGGCCAACATCCCGGGCAAATACGACATCAGGGAACTGGAGAAGACCGCCATTTTGGGAACTTCGTACATCATCCGAAAGAGGCTTTCATAAAATAAGATTATATAATACATGTGGCATTTGCTAAAAACAATATGTATCCCGGAAATAGCTGCTGCCCTATGTACCTTAGGGACAAGGTCTGTCGGGTACATGGAAGTACATACCCCACAAAGTGGTGAAGAGATGGGATAATTCAATTCAGTTAATTTATTTACGTGTTTGCCAACAGCAAGAAACCAATAACAGGCAAACACTGATAATACATACAATAATAATGAAATAATAATGAATAATAGTACACAAACAGATAATAATAATAATAATAATAATAATACAGTGCTATGGAATAGAGGGGTACAAGCTGATAGGGAGGTTCTGACAGATAGGCGAGACATAACTAACTAGATATCTCACCGAATCCGAAGGTTCATCACCGAATTAACCAAAGCCCTCCACTGGACCCTGTGATACGCCAGACATAACAATTAAAAACAAGAAGGATAGAATTTGCTTATTGATCGATGTAACAAAGACAGCGGTTAGGAATATAACACAGGAGTCCGAAAATAAATTAAAATACATAAATGTAATTATAGAAATTTGCTGATTGTCGAACATGGCATGTTGTGTCACACGTAATCACTGTGACAACAGGAATTGTAACTGAAGGATTAAAATGCACCTTGAAAATGTACCAGAAAAGCGTCCGATCGATTAAAAGAACCTTTCTAAGAAAATCGGACATAATAAGGAATGGGTTAAAATTTTAAACTTGAAGCTCGAGTGGTGGGGTTTGTCTTTGGTTGAAGAGGAGAAGTACCACGAAGAACTTGTGATAAAGTGAAGAAGGATAATAGTAAATAATAAGCCATAAATAAGTTATGTTATAGTTATTCTTACGGGTCCGCAGTGGCCGCGCGGTCGCTGGGACCGTGGGTTCGAATCCCACTCAAGCCATGGATGTTTGTCCGCGTTTCTCTGTGTCGTGCTGTCCTGTGTACAGGTAGAGGCCTTGCGAAGGGCCGATCCCTCGTCCAAGGAATCCTACCGAATGTCTATAGATCAAAGCCAACGAAAAGTTGGGACCCGCAGTGCTCAGGCTCTTGAAGAACGGGTCGTTCCCAGTAGCCCAATATAGTTATTCTTATAGGTTACTATCGCTGTGATAGCCTATGAAATCCAATCAGAACGAAGTCGTCTTTGATACGTCTGTAAAACTTTCCAGCTTTTGAGGTTGTCCCGAAACTTTTTTGAGGAAAGTTGCACTGTTGATTTTATGATTGGATCAGCAAATCTTTGTAGACATACTTCTTATCGCTAATCACCTTGCTTCTCTGTATTCGTTTCTGATGCCTAATCTATATTTGTATACGCGTTTTGGAAAGTTCCCACAGGCCTAC